TTGCGTTGACGACTACCATTGTTCAACTCCATGGCATTGTAATTTTGAACTCAATCTAGAATATAAGGGAACACCTGAATCAATACTCTAGAGGTATTGCCTTGTTATGGGAACTTGGAGGACTTTGTGACCCTGACATATTTAACGTACACCAGTCACCATGCGAGAGTTCTTCAGCCGACAGGATTTGAACTCTCGTTCTAACGAACACGAATCCAACACCCTATTAACCAGAAGCTTAGGTTTATTCTCAAAACTCGGTATATGGGTTCCCCATGCTCTTAATCAGTGACTGATTAATCATAAGGTCTGGGAGGCCGAGGCCTAAGGCTCCTTAAGCACTTCAAATAATTTATTTTTGTGCTTTTTCTTAAGTATTGTGAGTTAGCAAAAATCGTAATAAATATAAGCTTAAATCTATCGCAAGGCACATAGTAAATAAACAAGTAAATTCGGTTAAAGCTACAACCGGGATGCTCCTTATAGTTCTGTGCCTAGGGTCACCACATTTATAGACCAGACCATGATCTTACGGAAAGAAATTTGTGCCGTTGCATTAATTACCATTAAAAAGCAAACCTTTTATGAGTTAGGAATCATGTTACTGCCAGAAAGATGACAAAAAGTATTGGACCGGAATGGGCAATACATAATTCAATAAAATATTTATTCACTATAAGACAATCGTCCTTCATTTTCAAAAGGAAAATACGAAATAACTATCCGAACAATTCAATACTATAGAGCCGCGATGGCTCTGGGGATAGAGCATTCGACTTCCAATGAGGTGAACCGGGTTCGAATCCCAGCGATGGCTGGTCGATACGAATCCGCCTCCGGCTTGCACCGATCACAGTGCTGACATGAAATATCCTCAGCGGTAGACAGATCATGGGTTAGGGTCCCTTTGCCGTCAGGCTAACTGTGGGAGATTTTCCTCTCCATGTAACGTAAATATGGGTTAGTTTCAGCAAAAAATCCTCCACGAAGGCAAATTTCTCCCAATACTTGATCCGAGAGCAGCGATGGCTCAGTCCTCCTCTCAATACTCGATATAAGAATTCCCTTGTCTTCTGGACTGGGCTCAAAATTACAAGGCTACGGAGTTGAACATTGGTAGTCGTAAACTGAAAATTCGGTCGGCTGTTCAACGACGGTTATAAAATTCAATAAAATTCAATACTATAAGAACTGCCAATGAGGAGACGGTCCCTTTTTTCTGTGACAATGTCGATGTTACGCGGTTTTAAGCTAAAGCGTTAGTGAGTGGAAATAAAGAGGGAGGGGAGAGCTGGGATGTGAGGGAATGACAAGCGATTGGGAGGTTTCGTCGGTGATTAGTAAACCCTAATCCTTCGACCAGCTTCACTCCCTCATCTGACAATCTCCTTCGCAAGCCATCTTCAAACCAGACGATTGAAAATGACTCCCGGAACACTCCTCTTTCCCGCTTCATCCCGATTGGATGATCGCTTGAGAAGCAAGGCGATGTTTGGAAATTTTTAAGTGATTCTAAACGAAAAATTGCAAGGGAATCTTTAAAGAAAATGTCAAGCAAGAAAATGGGTAGTGTCAAATTAAAAACTCAACGAAAAGTAGCAAAATTTCATGTAACAAAATGGGTAATATCAAACACAAAAACTAACAAAAAGTTACAAAATTTCATGCAACAAAGGGGAAGTATCAAATCTAAAAACCAAAAAAGTTTTTTAAAAAATTCATGCAACAAAATGGGTAGTATCAAATAAAAAAATTAACCAAAAGTTAAAAAAAAATCATGCAACGGAATGGGGTAGTATCAAATAAAAAACCAACGAAAAAAAAAATCATGCATCAAAATGGATAGTATCAAGTACGAAAACCAACAAAAAGTAAGTAATTTAGGGTTAGCCAAAATTATGTTTTTAACTTATAGAAAAGGATGGGGAGAAGAAATAAAATTCCGACAAGTGGTTCTTTAAAGAGAAAATGGCGACCTATGTATGAGCTGCTCACAGCCCAAATCGATTAACTCCTCTTTTTGAAATACCTTAAATCTAAGTACCAAGAAGCTTAGTTCAGTCATAGCATTATACTATAATGAATTTCCTGAACAGTAAACGTTACCGACGTTTTTAGAATAAAAACAAATGAAAAACTGAACAGCACGAACTTTGAACATGAAATAGCTTTATGAAACTTTCTTATGAACTTTCATTCAGAAATGCTATTATGAATTTTACTTCTAAATTGTAACATTAATTATAAATCAGTTATATTTAATTTTATTTTTAGAGTAATTCGAATGGTACTAAGCTCAGGGCGAATGGGACCCTCAGACAGAGTTCATACATAGAGCGATATAGCCATCTCTAGCTCTTGCGTCAAAAACTACAAACTTACTAACTGACCAATGAATAAAAGCTTGCTACATCTAATTTTAGCCAAAAAATTATATCATTCAAAGAGAATTGTTGTATACAGTGCACAAAATAAAAAAGTAAAGGGACAACCCTGAATGACTTTTGATCTGATCTTCACGTTCTAGGACTCAATGGTTCAAGAGGGTGACCTCAAATATGCTCATTAATTAGTGCAAACGATATTTGAAGCTCCGACAACAGACACAAAACAGTATTTTCTCTGAATAAACTAGTCTTTTTCTTCTACGACTTCTGATTTCTGACTCTCAAAATATAGGGGATAACAGCAATTCGAAAAATATGATCCCGATAGTTTGGCCTAAAGCGTGGCCCAAAGTTTGGATCCTTTAATGTTAATTTTATTTTTTTCGCATTTTGCCACATCTCGAGAACTTTTTAAGCGAATCGAAAACTTTTGTTCACTCCTATAAAACTGGTTTACCGAAAGATAATTCCAGGCAAACTAAAACTTTCAGTAAATATTTATTACATTTTATTATTTTATTTAATAAGAATCGAAAATATTCGAATTGTAAGGTATGCAACTTTTTACATCACTTCAAAGAATATAATTTTAGATGGTAAAATGCAAAATTTGAGGAAATTGGTCGAATAGTTTCTGAGAAACCTAATTTTGAAAATACGACATATTTGAAATTCGATTTCTCAGGAACTATTCGACCGATTTTGTGCGAATTTTGTACTTTTCCGCTACCGCTTATATTTTATGGGCCAGAAATATGAATCCGTCCAAAAAAGGTATGTTTATTCAGAGAAAGCACGTTTTTGTGTCTGATTAACTTAACCTATAGTCTGCACTAACTAATTAGCATATTTGAGGTTACCCCATCAAACCATTAAGATTAAGTCATAGAGCGTGTCAGGGTGGTCCGTTTTTTATTTCGCACAGTGCATGGAACTTTTCGACTATTAATCGTTTTATTCAATTGACTTCTGCAGTGAACGCCTATATGCATCTCTATACCGTACAGACTAAAAACATTAATGTTTAAAAATACTAGATGAATCTGAAATGTTCGGCGAGTGAAAGCATAACATGATTAAAACCAAAAACTTTTATCCATCCTTAAAGAAAAATCAGTTTGTCATGATACACTTTTAAAATCATCATTGAATCTCTAAAAATAAATCAATGAAAGCATCGAGTGGGGCACAAAATAGATCTTACACTGAATTATATCTTTGTGAATGATCTTTCATTTGCTAATTCCAAATTTGTCAAACATACATCGATGATCTTGCAATAGCATCGATTTGATCCGTTATTACATCGATCTTATTATCCATCGTAATATTGGCTGAGAAACAAGTACGTAGAAAGTGGAGCTATGTATCCAATTTGTAACAAAACTTATTGTTTATGGATTGTTTCATTTCAATTTGTCGGCAGTTTGAGTATACAAGCCAAATCTACTGATCACAAGCCAAATCTACTACGCTCGCAACTAATTAGCATCAATTTCTCGCAATCCTTAAAATGTGCTGTTTCTCCATACACTGTAAAAAAATATGGATCAAATTACGGTAGTTTCTACCGTAATTTGATCCAGAATTTTTACAGTACCGACAATTTGGATGCATCATCGGTAATATCCTTTTTTACTGTAAAATATTATACCGTAATTTATACAGTAACATTTATTTAATTAGAATGATTCAGTGGCTTTATGGTTATTATTACTTTAAGAATTACGGTACATTATTTTCTCACCATCCTTGAAATGGGCTGTTTCTCCTTGCACTGTAAAAAATTCTGGATCAAATTACGGTTGAAAGGACCGGCAATTTGGATGCATAATCGGTAAAATCCTTTTTTACTGTAAAATATTATACCGTAATTTATACAGTAATATTTATTTAATTAGAATGATTCACTGACTTTATGGTCATTATTACTTTAAAAATTACAGTATATTATATTCTCACATTCCTTGAAATGGGCTGTTTCTCCTTGCACTGTAAGAAAATTCTGGATCAAATTACGGTAGAAAAGTACCGACAATTTGGATGCCTTATTCATAAAATCTATTTTGACTGTAAAATAATTTATTCAGTAATATTTATGTCATTAGAGTGATTCAGTGACTTTATGGTAATTATTACTGTAAAAATTATGTGCATCAATTTCTTGCAATCCTTGAAATGTGGTGTTTCTCATACACTGTAAGAAATTCTGGATCAAATTACGGTAGAAAGTACCTACAATTTGGATGTATCATCCGTAAAATCTATTTTAACTGTAAAATATAATACCGCAATTTATACAGTAATATTGACTTAATTAGAGTGATTCGGTGATTTTATGATAATTATTACTGTAAAAATTACGGTATATCAGATATTTTGTGTTCCATAAATTTTTGCACTGTAGGTTAATCTCTACGCACACAAAAAGACGCATTTTTAATTGACGTCGCTTTTAAATATCTCTCTATTTTCTGAACTTCTCAGACGTGCTTTGCAAATTATTAATATCACTATAACATTTCATGTGCAGATAAAATTATGTAAAAGAAAATTAAAAATTAAACAAAAAATATTTAGAAAGTACTAATTTTTTTCTTTGCAAAAATTATTTTAAAATGTCTTACCATGCTTGCTGTCTGGACTATCTGCATCACCTACGGAGTCCTAAAGAAAAAAAAATATTATTATTTAGTTTAATTATTATTTTCAAAAGACCATTCAAGAATTATACAATTTTTTTCATGTCTGTTTATGATATTCATGAAAAAATATTTTTTAAATTATAAATATGTATTTCTTTTCTTTAATTTATTTAGATATATCACTCCAGGTTAACTTATTGAAGTTGTATCTAAAATATTAACGCCAGTTGAATTTTGAAGCGTAATTTAGAAGTAATAAACAAAATTAAATTTCCTTAAAAACCCAGCATAGCTTTTTGTTTTTTGTTCTTTCGTGACTAAGTTATAAATATTCCATAATGTTTCGGATTATCTTAAAATTAATTGGAAATTCGTGCGATATTTGAAATTATTTCTGAAAATTTTAATGAATAAAATTAAATTTTTCCTTAAGAATAATTTCATTTTTCAATAAGATTTAATTATTTTAAGTGGAGCAAAATAAGAACTAATTCGCAGAAGTATTTTTTTTTCAACTATATTTTTTTTATAGCGAGAAACACATTTTTGAAATGATTAAATTGCTTAAAAATTCTTATTCACAGCTCTTGGAATTTATTATAAAATAAAATAAATTATTAATTAAGAAGAAAAAATAATTTTAACTAATTTTTGTTTAAGATAATCGAGATATGGGGAATGGAAAATTGCAATTACTAAATCATTTGGTGGGAAATCTTCCTATTTTATACATTTATATGAACAAGTGAAAGCAAATTAAAATGATTGAAATAAACATAATGTAAAATAAAATTATCTTGTGTTTAAAAAATATTTTCAGCGATTTCATTATTTCTTAAATCTGCGGAGAACGAAAATTAAATGTATTTTTTTAAACTTAATATAAAAATCTTCAACTCAAAAAGTGGATTTTCTATCCTATAAAGGAAGAAAGTTCAAAACTGTAGACACTCTATCAATTGTAAATCTACACGGAGAAAAATATTCTGGTAAAATTACCGAGCTGTATGGTTGACATTTCAAGTGAGAAAAAAAACATGATTTTGGTTAATAAAACCAAAATATACGGTATTTTAACCTTTGATTCAGTTGTAATTTTTTCCGTGTATATAGTAACACGGTTTACCAGAAATTCTTGTTTTCCAACTTATAGTTCTTGTTACCATAAATTTTGAAGAAAAATTAAAACTGAAAAATAAATTTAACCGGATAAATGATTTTTAGAGCATCTTCTAAGATATAACAATAAAATTATCTAATTTTGCGATATTTACCAAATTTTATCATATAATACAAAACCATATTTTATTGTAAATTGTACGGAAATTATTACCAAAGCACTTCGGTAAAAATTACCTAATTTTTTAATGCCTTCAGAAACACGGTAAATTTTACCAAATTCTGGTAGTTTTGACCATTCTTTTTTTTTCTCTACGCTTGTATCAGGTAAAGTGACGCGTTGTTCTTATGCTAGAAGAGATTAAGAAGTGTTCAGAGCATCCCAAAAAGATGACACAGTGTGGCAACTTTTAAAAAATATGGGAACTTTTAAAAAATATGAGAACTTTTCATAAGTATGGCAGCATTTCAAAAGTATGAAAACTTTTCAATTGTCTGGAACCTATATAAACGAAAATTAATTTTTCTGATTCTTTAATTTTTAGTAATAATTAAAAAAAATTCGTTTTCCGGTTCTTTAATAATTACTTTAAAATATCCACTTCTAATATTAAGATATTTGCTTGCAAAAACCGTACAACAATTTCAGCGTCATTATTATTAACGATTTAATTGAAGTCGTTATTAATAGTGATCTCTCCGACCTTTAAGGTCTAACTGTATAAAAGAGTCTTATTGATTTTATTACAGCTGTTTTATTACCGCAAATTAAAGCATAAGAATAAAATAATAATGAAATCGCATAAAAAACAAATGTAGTCAAGATTATTAATGGTCTGCTTAACAAAAAATTAATATGTATTTTTTTTTTAAATTAACTTCTTTAATTCTGTGCAAATACTCTTAGCTTTGCACAATCATTTTTAAGAATCATGGCTGTTTTCCCCAAAATTAGGGGAAACGCCAGGTTCCACCTGACCCTCTCTTCATTGTAGAGAAGGCTGTGAAGCGAAAAACGATATATGCGTCATAGAGAGGTTGAGAACCCCCCTTTCCCCCCAAATCTCTTAGTATTCCTCCCTATTTATTTAAACATTACGTGGCTATTCAATAATCATCAAACAGTAAAGAATTATTTATATTTCCGACATGCTTTATAATTTCCTGCTGCATATTGAATTTTTTTTTTCGTCCTCTTCAACTGATAATTTGATGTATTATGTTTGAAGTAATTAATAATTATGGGATGAGGTTTGGTAAATTAAAAAAAAAAAATACTTCTAAATAATCTGAGAGAATTTAAATCCTGTTTTAGATAAAATTAGTCGCAGTCGTTTTGCTAAAAATTATCTACAAATATTCGGATAAAAAATTTAAATATATTGGGTCTGTTCCACGAAACGGAGGTTATGGAGCCCTTTCCAAAATTTTTCAATATTCCTCTTTATTAAAAAAAAAGGTGATGAAAAAGTCGGAATTAATTATTAAATAGAAACGCAATTAAACTCTCCAGTTTGTTTTCGAACGGAATCGTAAGTACAGTTTAATGCGGGCTCCAAAAGCTTCGTATCGGAGGACTGATGAAGTGAAGTAAAAAGATTTGATTTAAGCCCAGGAACTTTTGGGTCTTAGAAAAAAAATATTTTAATGTGTTTATCAATCAAATTGCAAATAAAATTTTAAAAAATCGAAAAAGAGTACCATTTTTCTCCGAGTAAAGAAATTTTTTTTTATGTGGACAGATGAAAAAAAAATTAAGAAAAGCCGTTTACTCTGATCGCGTCTTAAAATTAACTCTTTTATTGTTTTTTTCTCTCCCTGAAACAATTTATGTTGTACCGTACCCAAAAAAGCAAACACCCTAAATAACTTTTAATCTAATGATGGGATTTTTTTATACTAAGACTCAATTTCAACAGTTCAAGAATCTAAACTAAATTATAATAATTAATTATTTTAGAATATATCATATGTCACAGACTCTGACACATAAACAATTTAATAAACTTACCTTTTTTTCGATGGATTTGGATTTTTTAAACCTCAGAAGGGGGGGGGAGAGGTATCTGTAGTCTAGAAAATTTTTGGCCCCAATAGTCTACTCAGAAGACTGGTGAAAAGTTTAAACCACTTAATAGTATCTTTATGTATTCCTTAATTTACCATATCTCCAGATTTTTTTAAAATCTAAACTAGCCAATATTTTAGCACTCAATTATATAATTCATTTATTCAAAAATAATTCAATATCACTCCACAATCAGTGTAACAATGTTAGTATTAAGAAATACAGACTAAAGTAATATTTTGCCGCTAATATATATTCAAGTTCGTTGAAATTAATTATTAAGTGCTTGAAATATAACAAAAAGTGTCAAACAAAACGAAAGAGTAAATAGAAGTTAAAAAAAACGCAACAAAGTAAAGAAAATAAAATAGAAAAATAAATAATTGTAATACAATTAAACAATTACAAAAAGAGTCCCCAAATAATAAAAAATGCTCATTATATTCTTTGATAGCATTATCTACGCTGAGGAAAAAAAATATGGCCAAAACTACTAGAATACGATACATTTTACCATGTTTCTGGCTCTATGGGAACACCAAGAAGCTCGGTAATTTTTATCGAAGCGCTTTAACAATGATTTTTGTAAAATTAGCAATAAAATATTGCTTTATAATACATGATAAAATTTTATAAGTGTGGTAAAATTCAGTAATTTTATCATGATATTTTAGAGCATGCCATAAAAATCATATATTCAGTTGAATATTAACTTTCAGCTTTGTATTTTTTATAAATGCGTGGTAATAAGAATTATAATTTTGAAATCCAGAATTTTCCGCAAACCATTTCCATAGGAAGAAAGAAATTACCAAAATAATATTTTAAATACCGTATAATTTGGTTTTTATTACTCAAAATAAGATACTTTTTTTTACTATAGAAAAATATCATTACTTTACAATACAATAAATTTGCCTGGCTTTTTTCTCCATGTACAAAAAGTTTGTTTAAACGCAAGACAAACAACTACCGTTGAGTGTTATTATCAAGTTACTTCGAAGCATTTGTGTATCATATATTCAGTTGAATATTAACTTTCAGCTTTGTATTTTTTATAAATGCGTGGTAATAAGAATTATAATTTTGAAATCCAGAATTTTCCGCAAACCATTTCCATAGGAAGAAAGAAATTACCAAAATAATATTTTAAATACCGTATAATTTGGTTTTTATTACTCAAAATAGGATACTTTTTTTTTACTATAGAAAAATATCATTACTTTACAATACAATAAATTTGCCTGGCTTTTTTCTCCACGTACAAAAAGTTTGTTTAAACGCAAGACAAACAACTACCGTTGAGTGTTATTATCAAGTTACTTCGAAGCATTTGTGTATCATATATTCAGTTGAATATTAACTTTCAGTTTTGTATTTTTTATAAATGCGTGGTAATAAGAACTATAATTTTGAAATCCAGAATTTTCCGCAAACCATTTCCATAGGAAGAACGAAATTACCAAAATAATATTTTAAATACCGTATAATTTGTTTTTTTTTTTACTCAAAATAGGATACTTTTTTTTACTATAGAAAAATATCATTACTTTACAATACAATAAATTTGCCTGGCTTTTTTCTCCATGTACAAAAAGTTTGTTTAAACGCAAGACAAACAACTACCGTTGAGTGTCATTATCAAGTTACTTCGAAGCATTTGTGTATCATATATTCAGTTGAATATTAACTTTCAGCTTTGTATTTTTTATAAATGCGTGGTAATAAGAACTATAATTTTGAAATCCAGAATTTTCCGCAAACCATTTCCATAGGAAGAAAGAAATTACCAAAATAATATTTTAAATACCGTATAATTTGGTTTGTATTACTCA